GGACCGTTAGGTGTGGTGCAATACCACAAGCGTACAAAAACAACCAAGGAAATTAAGGTCATGGTGTCACAATTGGGAAGGTGTCCCAATTTCAAAACCAATGGGGCTAAATGAAAACGCCATCATCACGGGAAGCAATCCTATTTTTAAGATGTTAAAAGCATTTTTTGAGTTAAACCTGGAGGAAGAATGGGCAGAAAAGTACAAAAGAAACAAACGAAAAACGTGATGTACTTTGCTCATTGCATTCAGACTGAAAATAGCTAAATAGTATAAGGTACCATAAAGAAAGTTACCAACACAACCTAAATCTGGCGTCCAATACAGACTCGTTCTGCATTATCATGCATCATAGACATCTAGTAAAGAATTAAGCAAAACTGGGCGAAATTATTGTTATTACATTTTTAATAAAGTTTCCTAACAAAGTAAAGCTCAAATTAACGAGTAACAGATGATTGACTAATGTAGGGGTCGAATTCTTTTCTCCCGAGCCTCTTCAATAACCAATTGCCTCTTCAATGTGCTAATTTTTGTATTTGGAGAAACTTCTTCAATCCAGCTTTACAGAAGAGAATAAATAATGCACAAACCAGAAAGAAGAAAGGAATCCAACAGTGCCTGTTGCAAACATGATTGCGAGAACCATGAAGAGAGAATACCCCAAGTACAGAGTAGCAGAGACAGGTCCACTCAAACTCTTAAGATCAAATATGAGATAGTTTATGGAGTACAAGAAGATGTATATAGCAACTGAACCAGAAGCAAAGAAGGATTTCCACCACCATTTCCAGTCCTCCACACAGAGATGCATGTAAGTTAACACCAACGATACTTCAGCACAAACCACAACAAGCAGGATAAGAACAATGAACAGAAAGCCAAAGACATAGTAAACTCTCCCCATCCAGATGCTAGACATGATGAAGAAAAGCTCAATGAAAAGGGTACCAAAAGGTAGAGTTCCAGCACCAAGAACTAACAGCCATGATGGGTACTTTTGAGCAGGAATTTCCCGAGGGATCTGGTTGGTTCGAACAGGGTATTCAATGTGAGGTGCCTTAGCCCCAAAGTATCCACCAACTAGGGTGAGTGGAACCGAGATACAGAACCAAAGTAGAAGTAGAATAACAAAGAGAGAAAATGGAATAGCTCCTGTGCTATGACTTCCCCACAACAGGAAATTTAAAGTGGTCAGAATCAAAAAGGCAATACCAGGGAAAAAACAAGCAGCCTTCCAAGCAACAGAAACCCATCCCTTGTGATCGCCACAGCCAATTGTTCTCCAAAGACAAACGGCAACATAGCCAGCTGCAATACCCAGAATCATGTAGAAAAAAAGCATACCTGTAATAAGAGTTCCACGGGATGCTGGAGACATAAATCCAAGAGCGGCAAACAATATTGTCACAACAGCCATCCCCAGGATCTGAACTCCATCCCCAACCATAATACATAAAAGAGCAGGATTGGATGGGGCACGGAAAACATCCCCAACAACTAGCTTCCAGCCAGATAACTCCTCTTTCATCTGTGCTTGGGCCTCCTTGTCAAGCTCCTCATACCGGGTCAGATCCCTCCTAACAGTCCTTAAGAAGATCACAAGGACTATACCAGCAAGGAAAGTGATCACCATAAGAGAATTCAAGATCGAGAACCAATGGACTTTGGATCCCTCCATCTTCAAATAAGCATCCCAACGAGATGGCCACTTGATATCACTCTCCTCAAAGGCAACCTCATAGGTGAAGACAACCGGCTCGCCTTCCTTGATAGGCATAGACACGGTAGTTGACTCGCATTTAATTGAAGATGGGTACTTCCCATACATTTTCAAGTTCTTAACCAAGTTACCATTATGCATGACACTGCAAGGAACCACCTCAAACCCAACAACCATATACCCAGGCACATTCGATCCCCCTTTGCCAACAGTGGGTATAACCTCAGTTGCATCCCCACTCCCCATCACACGTGCCACATTCGTTTCCTCATACTTATGAACCAGCACCTTAAATTTCAAATGATTAAATACATAATACACATCCTGAAACTTAACCCCAACTGGGTACCCGGTCCACCTCAACATAAAACCTTCTTTCATGGTATACCTTATAGCGGGCAAATTATCAAGAATCAAGTTAACCTGATACATCTCATCAATCCTCTTTGTCAACAACTTAAAATCATCAGCCGATAACTTATCAGATTGACACAAGAAGATCTCGGTCTCATTAGTGTACATCTTAAACCTATACGGTGAGTTCTCAATCCGATCTCCCATGAGAAGCTCACCAAGATTCTCAGCACTATCCTTAACACCCTCTGCAGGCTTACAAAAGGGTAAACTGTAATAGCTAAAGGGCATTTCAGTGTCAATGGAAGTTAGGGAATTCACTTTGACAGATAAAGGGTCCCCAACCACATATTTGTGAGGGTAACTACCAGGCAGATAAAACCCATATCCAGATTGAAACATCAAGCAAATTGTCAATACCCAAATCCCAAAATTACCCATTAAGTCCAAATTATGTCAGATTTGGGAAAACCCAGATCCAGAAATGAGTTAAAAAAAAAGATTTAGGTGAATTTCGACGTGGGTTTCGAGTAAACAAAGCAGAGCATATAATATTGAAGAAATATGTAAAGGAAGAATGGATCCGACTGACCTTTGGAAGCAGAATTATAATTGCCTGAGAGAAAAAGGCGAAGAGTCTCTATGAAGAAAATCGAAATCCAAACATAGAAATTTATTTTTAAGGAAACTGATATTTCGAGAGAAAAAAAAAATAGCAAAAGTAAGGGCACGATAACGGGCCTTATATTTTTGGCCTTGTGCGCTTCTGCTGACGAGTCATCCGACACCGTATTGAGGGTGAGAGGATTTTTCGCCCTTTTTGTATCTTTCTTGTCTATTTGACTATAATGCCCCTAACCGAACCCATTATTTTCATTTAATGGTAAATTTTACTTTCTATTATTAAACATTTTTAATTTGAACCCCTTTCAATAATTTTTCTATTCAAAGGATTTTTTATTTTTTTCTTTTTTTTTTATCAAACAGAATGTTAATAGATTTTTTTAAGCATTATTTTGTAATTTTCTTTTCTTTGAAAAGTACCTTACTCTAAAATAACCATAAATAGTATAATAAAAATTAATTCAAGTTGATTAATTATGATAATTCATCCATGTAAAAACATTTAATACATTTTTAATTTCTAGTTTTAAAATAAAATGAAAGTAGTAAAAATTAAAAGCAACTAAATCATTTCCTTGGTCCAATTGAATTTTTAAATCAATTATTAGGCTTAATCAATTTTTAAATTAATTTCTAAATAAAACTTTTATGTGTAAAATTTATATTTGATGCATTGTTAATATATAGATTTTATATATTATCAATAAATTAGATGATGTCATTTCATTAATAAATAAATATTAATTTTTAAAACATATTAATTTATATTTTTTAAAAACTTAGATATATAAATTTATATATATTTCATTTGCTTGAAAATGAAAGGCATTTGTGAGAATCCTAATTATGATGCAAATAATGGGTAATATAGACAATTTCATCAACAATAGTTAATTGAGTTGATAAATTTGAATGCTTTTTTATGCTAAAAATATGAATTTTTTGTCTTAGATCATTATTTTTTTACACAAAACCAAGGTTTTTTTTTTTTTTTTTAACTTCTCTTGGAGACCTTTACCAATGTCTCTCTAGTCTCAACAAGTAGGTTTACATCTAACTCTACCCACTTTGTGAACAAAGTAAATGGGTCTACATTGAAAATGACAATGAAACTAGGAAAAAAAAAACAAACAATTTGATTGTTTTAGCTAATTAAAAACAACTTGATGTGTTTCTAAAACAATCATATGGCTTGGGAGTTGGAAACAAGACTCCATTTTTTGGAGTCAAGTGAGCTGTTAATGTACATGAACTTGTCTCATTATACACCTCTTCTTAGCTAGAAATAATATTCTGATAGAATGTTTAAAGAATGAAAGGTATACCATACAGGCCATGATGCAGATATCTTACCAAAAGCAAAAAATAAAGACTCAGGGGAGGAAGTTCAGAACCGTTTTTCACATCTTTCTGACTGACTTGTGTCACATGGGCAAGCATTCAAAACCAAGAGTTTTTCACAACTCCCACAAGTCAAAACCACGCCAAAAAAATATGCCTTGATGAGCTCCAAACGCACACAGCAGCTCGTTTAATGCTTTTGCAATCTTTTATGCGAACATCCTGGATCAAAATTCCATGTCGCCATCTTAGTAAGGTTACCCGATCATGGATTTTGGGCCAGAAAAGCAAGAAGTTATTACTTACAATAAACGTACAATGAAAGTGAAATGAATGCTATGATTTGCTAAATAGGAACTAGCCTTTTGTATATTCATTTTGAGGCCCATCTAATGATAAGCACCCAATCCTCCGATTTTGGGAGCCTAGCAGAGACTAAAGGATTGACAATCCTTGTGAATTGTTGCCCAAGCCCATACCTTCAATGAAACCCATCTTAACCATCGTCCTATTGGATCCAAAACCTATGGTATATATGCTTTTCAAAAGCTCCAAAAGATATATGCCGACCCCTGGATGAGTCACTGCTTGTGTTGGAGAAATTCACACCACACCCAACCCAAGCGATTTAGGCCGCTGTATGAGTTCAATGGGCTATGCCTGTGCCATACCCATTTTACACCCAAGAAATATTTACATTAATAATTCCTGCCAATAAGTAATGCCCCCCACTCCGAGCTAGCATTAATCTTAAACTTTCTTGGTTTGCCCCCTAAATTGACAGTTCCTATCAATTTCATAGGACTAACCGATCAGTAACAAGAGCCACTGACCACTATGAACAAAAAAAAAAAAAAAAGAGGTAAAGAACACAGTCAATAGCATAATCCGTAGAGAATCATACCAAACACTAGTCTTACAAAATTTTAGTCAATAAAGTAAAGCCTGCAATGCAATGCATTTTGAGACAACCCAAGATGTTTCTTGTCGGTAATTTCCCCAGTTTCTCCAATTTTCTCTCCTATTTCTTTAGCTTCTGATCTTTCCACACAAAACAGATAAATAAGGCCAAAAAAATTAACATGGATGTATGCTGATAAGTCTATGGATCGACACCAACAAGACACGGCTCCCACAACGCTGATGGCCCACGCCATTGCCGCATATACAGCTCCCCAACAAATTAGCTATTTGTTTTTTCCCTCTATTTAACTATCATAACTACTTTCTATAAATGCCACCATTAATTGTTTTATTGTTTATATCCATTGAAAGGTTAGGCACAGGGTTTCTGGTCGCTGCAATTAAGGAACATGGCCACAGGAGCTGCTGATGGACTTTTCCGGTCGCTTTACGAAGGGTGCATCTCCGGCTACGACATCGGCATCGATAACCGGCCGTACCATCAGAACTGCCGCTGTGCCCTGCACGACAAGTCACGAGGGAATTGTCCCCATGCATCCCCTAAAAGCGAGAACGTGTCTTATCCTATAAGGAGAGCCTGGAGTGAGGGATGCTTGACCATGGCAGCAGCCTCTTGTCATTCTTCTCCGTCTTCTTTACCAGCTTTGGCTGGGTTTCGTGGGGCTGGGAAGCGGCAATTGGGATCATGTAAAGAAGAGGAGGAAGATAATAAGCTGGCAGCTGCTAAGGTGTTAAAATGAAAGGGAATGAATAAATTTTGGCCTTTTTTTTTTTTATGTTGGCAGTTGGATCAAGTTTTTGATCTGGTTTAAGAATAAGTACAGTGATGGGGTGATGATTAAAAAAACCATTGGAAGGTTTCAAAAGGTTTTTGATTGATGCCATTTTTTTTTTAAATTAATTTGCCTTTGTAAATCCATAAAGAATGGCCTAAATCAAAAATTGCTGCTCTGTACTTGGGGTTGTGGGGTAAAGTTTGTTCATACATAAAATCCTTTCATCTGTGTATATTAGAGCATACCCAACAAGCAACAACTTTTTTTTTTCTTATTTACTTCTTGGATTTGAATGATTGATCATGGTTTTGCTTTAATTCATCATGGAAAGTAGTTAGTTATCTAGAATATGAGAATAAATCATGAATTTGCTTCGGGGAAGAAATCATTCTCTTTTTTATGTCAAAAAGAAATTAATGATTCTGAATTTCAATTTGAAACCTAATTTTATCGAAGTAATTCATTATCTCAAAAATTTTAAGTTCTTAATAAAGGGGTAAACTATATATGTTTAAGTTTTAAACATGTTTTTTTTCTTTAGCTGATATTTGATTATTGATAAGTACCACCCTTGTTTCCAAGTGGGCATTTGTAAAACACGTTTTTTGCTTTTGAGTTAAGCAAGTTGATGACGAAATTGCTTAAAGCAAGTTGTTTTCAAGTTCGCTTTTGTAAAACACGTTTTGAGTTTGCTTACTAAAATAGTACGTCTCTAACTTTTATATATATATATATATATATATATTTGAGATTAATAAAAATTGCTATGTGATTATTAAAATTAAAATTTTCATAATAAATCACACAATTATTCATCTTTTCTACTGTTTTTTAAGGTATCTTTCAGCAACTTCTCTAACCTTAAACTCTTCCTCTCTCTCTCTTTTTATGTTTTAACTGTTAATTTTGAATTATATTTTTCTAGATTAATGTGATGTGAAGAACTGAAGATCAGATCAAGATTAGTATGACAAAACAATTGAAAAAAAAAAGTAGCATTGGAAATGTAGTTTATCTGTCTTTTATGAGTTTAGGGCATATCCAACGTTATAATGTTCTTGCTGTTGCGGGTCATATATGGTCTGCTGCTTAGCTCGATGCATCCTATGGCTACTTAACTATGTGTTTATTTAAAAAAAAAAAAGAATGGAAAGTTGGTTTATTTATAGTTTATCAATTATTAATATTAAAAAATGCTCTCTTTTCCAGAAATGTCAAACGAAAAACCAACATGGAGGTGAAGCTGGCCGGAAGTGGGCAAATGGGTGAGTGAGTGGCTCAATGCACCATTAGACAAAAAGTTAGATGACCTAATTGAATTTGCTTTTTTTTATTTTTCATTACATGAAAACATGGACAGTCACGGGTCGAGACTTAAGCTCCGATCCGTACTATTTTAGAATTCGGATATCTATTTATCCGGTATTTTAGATAAATTTGACTGTCATGGTTCATACCCTTATGAGTTATTGTTCATTTTGGTGCCTTATAAGACAGAAGTAGTGTGAACCTTTATATCTCATAGTGACCTTCCTTTTATATCCGATGTGAGATTCATGACTCTTCCTTATGTCCGTGACATTCTCTTTTACCCAACCTCGTGACACCTTCGTCACGAAAGCTGATCACCTTGCCTACCTCTTTTGAGGCGCTTGAAGTGGATCAAACGATTTAAGGTTGACTTTGATACCACTTTATCACTCTCTGACGTGGAGGAGCACCACTCGATTTGCTGATCGGCCCACCTTGCCTACCCCGCTGGGCGCTTGGCATGGAATCGAGTCATGGTGGTAATAAAGGGTACCTATCAGAGCACTCCCACCTTGCCTACCCCACAGGGTGCTTGACGTGGAAGCCCCTAGGCGGAGAGCCATGCTTCGCCACAGTTCACACGTGAGAGTTCCCAGGGATTGGTTATTCCTTTATTCTGATATCACTTGTCACGGGTCTAGACTTAAGCTCTGATTTACGCGGTTCTAGAATTCGGACATCCACTCATCTGACGTCCTAAATCAACTTAATTGTCATGGTTCACATCCTTGTGAGGTATTGTCCGCTTTAACCCATTGACCTCACGATTTTTTCTTACAAAAAACGCTTCACAAGATAGAAGCGGTGTGAACTTTTATATACTTTAATGATTTCTTTTTATATCTGATGTAAGATTCAAAACTCCTCCTTAAATTCGTGACAGACAGCATGTGCTCCAAATATACCTCTCGTTACTACAATGAAATCAAATTTTATTTTCTAATTTATATAAAAATTTTCTATTTTAAAAGTTCTTAACGAAATTTTCCTGCCTGATATTGAGAAGACTAAAAATGGGAGCAACTCAGCAACCTTTTTGAAGAAGATATCAATGTCATAGTGAAAAGAAGTAAAAGAAGTTGGAAGTTGGAAGTTGGGAGCTTTGGAGTTGGGAACCTAACTATACGTGTTCTGAACATGAATGCAAGGATGGGTTGGATTTGTAGCCGACCATAAACAAAAAAGTTGACAAAAAGTCTTGCATTCAACTGTACCCAGCATGTGATTTATCATGTTACATCCAAGAACCCAGCTGTCAATGGGACTCCATTCCAGAGTATTGATTCTTCTTCAACTACAGCTCATTGGCTCCTTCCATGAAGCTAAACAAAGGAAAAAAAAAAAGAATAAAGGTTCAGAATTCCATGGCTACCCAACTCACAATTTTTTGTTTGGAAAGGAGGATTCCATGGCTGCCCATTTATATTTGCATGAATATGAGAAACTGAATGCAGCATTTAGCAGCAAATGAACAATAGAAACTGCTAGAGTTCACCTCAGCCAGGTTGGAAAGAAAGTTAAAAAAAAAAAAACAGAACAAAAACCAAAATTGGCTGAACATTAGGCCTCCTCGAAGTACACATACGATGTATAGACTTTAAAATTGGATACTTTGTTGCATACATAGAAATAGTCGACTGTCTCACAAGAAAAAAAGACCGTTACATAGTCATTTTCAGTTCGTAACCAGTTGGTCAAAAAGGACATCTGAACGCAACGGTAAAATCTATGAGAAACTTACCCCAACTTCATGCAATAAAAAGTTCCAAAAACAAGTCAATTCATTTCCCTATTTCCAAAGAGACCCTCTTCTTCGGTCAGCATTAAAGACCGAACAACTGAAACCAGCCCCTTCATTAAAGACTTTTTTATTCTCGTTAAATATACACGCTCGAGGAACAAAGAGACAGGAGATTTAGAAGAGGGACGAGAGAGAAGAGAATGGCCACTGGGGCAGCTGCTGAGATGATGCTTCGGTGTGGAAGCCTAGTGATGCAAGACATTGAGATCGAGCGGAGGCCATATCATCGTAATTGCACCTGTGCCTTACACAAGTTAAAGGGTGTTTGCTCTTCTGCTTGTTCTCGTACAAGGAAAATATCCTTTTCCAAGAAAAAGACCTGGAATGATTGTTCCTTATCCATGGCAACTTCCCAATTATCTTCTCAATCTTCTCTTCTTGGTGGCTCTTCCGTTAGAAGCATGGAATCAAAGACATCAAGGGGGTTTTGCTACATAGATGGCGAAAATATGTCAGAGGTTTCATATTACAGCAGTTATGTGAAGAAAACAGGTTAGGAGATAGAGAATTGATTTTTTTCCATTTTTAGCCCCCTTCCAATTCTTTTCCATTTAGGATCTAATATCACGTCTCAAGATATTGAAATTATCTAGAGGAATTAGATCCAGGTTCTTTCACGTTCATCTATGTAACTCATATTGAATTCATTGTAATTATTTTCGTTCAAAGGGGTTGTAGCCACCATTTTATTTTACAGAACACTGACCATTTTAATTTCCACATTTCTTCCAAAATTCTTTCATATCCTAAACTGGTTATAGCAAATCTAAGGCACCACTTGGATTGAAGAGTATAGATGTGCATTCATTTTTATTTTTTGGTGAATTTATGGACTCAAAAGAAGAAAAAATATATGGGAGAACAGGTGTTAAATCTGTCTATTTCCCTACTTCTTTAATACCCTTCGTTCAGATAAAGAAAAAAAAGAAGGCCCTTGGTTTACAGAAGGTTTTCCTGATGTGCCCTATGTGGTGATGGATCCAATCTGGTTTCAGAAATAATATTTCCGATGTCTTTGAAAATCCGTGTATTTCCTAGTTTGGCAAGGCTGGGGTCAATAATTCGTTGATCAATTTGCAATATTGAGAACCTGTGACAGTACAAAAGGTTGCAGGCAATTAGAAGCCGAAATGCATCGATGCTGATAGCAAATGGTAATTGTCAACAGTTATGACTAACAAGTGCCAAAACCCATAGGCCACAGCGCAAGTCACTTAAGCCTCTAGCTACCTTTTCATTTTCTCTGTTTCTAAACTTTTTTTTTCTTTTCCTGCTGTCTGTTAGAAATTAAAACAATCAGGACCTTGTGCTTCAGATTGAGTTTTTTTAGTGAAATGTCAATTCTCTTTGGTCTAATCGTAAGAGTTAAGAATTCAAATCTTCTTAATACAGTCCAATTTTACCAATGTGCTTATGATGCAAGTCCACACCATTGGCAGATTCCTAAATCCTGAAGCACTTGATAGTTTTTGAAATGAGAGTAATGTAGAATGAGAGCAGGAAGTTGTTTTTGTTCATTTGGATGTTAAGTGAGAAAACAAGGTAGGTGATACAAATCCTTATTAAAGAATAGTTTATTACTAGTATTTCCAAGAGATATCTGTAACATGATTCGCTTAAGTTCTTGTTGTTGCATGCTGATTTTACAAGGATACTTATACAAATAAATAAATACTAAAATACTTCATTACAACTGTTTCGTAGGCATAAGAGGACAATGCATCAATTAATCTTAAAAAAATCATGTGATACAACTGAGTTAAAACAAGTAATTAGGAACATGAGATTTAAACCGATTGGGTTATGTAATTATTTCAAAAAAATGATATTTAATAAATTTAAATTTTAAAGTTTAATACCTATAATAATTTTTTTATCTCTAAATTACAATATGCTCTATATAAAAAAATAATTAGAACCCACAGGGGAAAAAGGATGGATGCTTGTTCTTGTTATAGTTTTCTACAGCAAGGAATCAGCAACTTCAAAATTTACCCTGTTTCCATGTAAGTGCAATTGCTTCACATGCATCATAGGTACTAGACAAAGGAAATTGGAAATTTCATCGGATAGTGCTCGCCTCGAGTACCATGAGAACTTCATTTCTCAATTAAAATAAAATTAATTAACCTAAGAATAATAAAACATATGGTTAATGAATAATAATTAAGCTATTCATGTCAATGAAGTTTTGGCTTAATGGTAAAGAAAATATTTTAAAACCATGAAGTTTTAACTTAATATAATGTTTTAATTAATTATACAATTAATTATATGAATGTTGTAGACACTCATTTTTCGGTAAGCTTCAAAATAAATAATAAATAATAAATAATAGATAAATAGAAGCAAAGTTTTAATCCTAGTAAAATGTTAGGATTAGGACTTTAAATTTTGAAACTGGCATGGTTTTTTTTTTTTCTGAAAAAAGGGATAAATGGATTAAACAGATAGGGATTTTGATTTTCAAAATCCCCACTCAACTTATACCCAACCCTATATAAACCCAGCAATCACAGAACAAACACACACAAAAAAAAAGGAGAGAGAAAATGGGAGTAATTAGAACCAAATTTTTTGTAGGAGGTTCTTAGAGGAATTGGTGGTTTTAATTGGTTTTTTGGAGATTTTTTTAAATTTTTTTGAAAATTTTCAGAATCACGTTAATTTTTCAACGAAAATTCAAGTTTTTCGGTGACTTTCCGGCAAAAACCTAATTTTTGACGATAAAACCCAAAAACTGATGATTTTTTTTATGATTTCAATGAGAAACGGTGATCGAAGATCACCTAGAGCGAGAAGCAGAAGGAAAAAGAGAGAAAGAAGGCGTAGCATTTGAAGAAAAGGAAAAATATGTGCCTTTTATAGTGCCTAGAAACGATATTGATTCGAGTTAAAAGCAAGGTAAGATCCGTATGTTTTTTTTTTGTCTAACCCAACCTACAGTGCCTTGACCCGTTTAACTTGTTTTACTGAGCCGTTGTTGAGCCATCAAGCTGAGCCGCGTTTAAGCCATTTAA